GCAGCGGTGTCCAGGCGGGGTTCACAGGATTCTTGGGAATAAAAGCAACTTCGGAACATTTTGTCCTTTTTTTTTTTTTGGCCTTTGGTTTGTTTTTTAAAAGCGCACAAAGTCCACATCAACATGTGCCGGGGTGGGGAGGACGTACCCCCAGGTCTCCTGAGGACAAGGCTGGTTGAGCCGCCACCCTCCACTGATGTCACTTTGCTTTATTTATCCTCTCGCCCAGCGTGTTTTCCTTTGCAAAATCATGAGAAAATCCTCACTCGCTTCAGTCCCAGCACAAGCAGGTTAACAGAGAAACTGAAGCTGTAAAATCCCTTCGCAACCACATTGACGCAAAAGAATCTCAGTTTTCTTTTTTTTTCTTTTTTTTTTTTTTTTTTTTTGAGATCAGAGCACACATTTTCTGGTTCACTCTCCAAATACCTGCAACAGCCAGGGCTGAATCAGGCTGAAGCTAGGCAGTTCAGGTCTCCCATGCGGGTGGCAGGAACCCAAGTACTTGAGCCATCACCTACTGCCTCCCAGGATCTGCTTTAGCAAGAAGCAGAGGTGGGTTGGCTGGCACCACAGCTCACTTGGCTAATCCTCCGCCTGTGGCGCCAGCACCCCGGGTTCTAGTCCCGGTCAGTGCGCCGGATTCTGTCCTGGTTGCTCCTCTTCCAGTCCAGCTCTCTGCTGTAGCCGGGGAAGGCAGTGGAGGATGGCCCAAGTGCTTGGGCCCTGCACCTGCATGGAAGACCAGGAGAAGCACCTGGCTCCTGGCTTCGGCACCTGGCGCAGCACCGGCCATAGCGGCCATATGGGGGGGTGAACCAACAGAAGGAAGACCTTTCTCTCTCTCTCTCTCTCTCTCTCTCTCTCTCTCACTGTCTAACTGCCTGTCAAATAAATTAAAAAAAAAAAAAAAAGGAAGCAGAGGTGGGACTTGGACCCCGCGGCATGACATGTAGGTGTCCCAAGTGGCATCAACCACTGTAGCAAACGCCCATCCCCCACAGACTTTTGGAAGTACCTTCATACAGCTGACTGTAAATACGAATGCAGGATTTTTGGTAAATTTTTCAAAAAATTTTTTGCACCATATCTACATATTTTCTACTCTGGAATTCTCTCTCTCTCTCTCTCTCTCTCTCTCTCTCTTTTTCCCTATAGCTTTATTTATTGAGAGGCAGGGCTAGAGAGAGGAAGAGAGAGGGAGAGAGCGAGCTTCCATCTGCAAGGAATGGCGAAATGGCTGCATCGGCCAGAGCTGCGCTGATCTGAAGCCAGAAGCCAGGAGCTTCTTCCCAGTCTCCCACATAGGTGCAGGGGCCCAAGCACTTGGGCCATCTTCTGCTGCTTTCCCAGGCCATTTAGCAGGGACCTGGATTGGAAGAGGAGCAGCCAGGACTGAAACCAACACCCATATGGGAAAGCCAGCCCTGCAGGCAGAGGCTTATCCTACTACATCCCAGTGCTGGCCACTAAGTTGACCTTTTTTATGGCAATAGAAATTTAAGATTTAGCTTTTTAAAAGATACACTTACGTATTTGGCAGAAGAACAGACAGAGAGAGGTAGTCTTCCATCTGCTGGTTCACTACCTAGGCCTGAGCCAGACTGAAACCAGCAGTCTGGAACTCCACCCCTGTCTCCCATGTGGGTGGCAAGACCCCAGGGACTTGGGCCATTTCCCACTGCTTTCCCAGATGTATCGACTTAACCTCCTGTGCCACAATGCCAGTCCTCAAATTCAGTATTTATTGAGTAGCTACTGCCTACCAAGTGCTGTATCAGATGCCCGGGCTATTCTAGTGAGCAGAAAGACCCTTTGCCCTCACTGACCTGAATGCCATAGCCCCTCCTCTTACAGACAGGGCAGCCTGTGACTGATGATCCACACTGGGACACTTGGACAGTGAAGTGTGCAGCTCATTCCCAGACGTAATCAGGACCTCCTGACCCAGATTTTCCTTTTTAAATGTAGTCATAAGGGTGGGTATTCAGCACAGCGGTTAAGACACCACTTGGGACGCCAGTTCCAGGCTCCTGGTGTTTGGACTTGGCTGTTGCAAGCATCTGAGGGAGTGAACCAGCAGATGAACCATCTCTGTCTTTCCAATACGGCCAAAAAAAAAAAAACATTAAAAATATATAATCATAGCTCTACCGCATCGGCAAAACCAAATCATTCGCTGTAAATAGGTCAGGAAAATTAGAGTTGATGAAAGTAAAACAATGCCTGTGCTTTAGGATTCTAGCTGGGGAATTGCTTTATGAAGACACTGAAGGATGTGCTTGGTCTCAGGGACGGGGACACGCTGTGAGAGTGTATTGTGAGCCAGTTCTGTCGTGTGTGCTCCTGCCGTGCACCTGCACAAAGCTGGAAGGTATAGCTCAACTGATGCACGTGGCCATTTGGCGCAATGGAGACTCAGTATACATGACATACACAAGGGTCTTGCTGGTGTAATGCGGCAGACTGCTCTACAGTAAACGTTATTTTCATTTCATTTGAAAGACAGAGACAGAGACATGGAGAGAGATCTTCCATCTGCTGGTTCACTCTCCAAATGCCCACAACAGCCAGGGCTGGCCCAATCCAAAGACAAGTGCTTAGAACTCCATCTGGGTCTCCCCAGTAGGTGGCAGGGACCCTGGTACTGGAGCCATCACCTGCTGCCTCCCAGGGTGTGCATCAATAGGAAGCTGAATGCGATGCAGAGTAGCTCAGGTGCAAACCCAGACTTTCCAGTGTAGGAGGAGGCAGGCATCCCGAGCAGTGACTTAATCATGGTGCCAAACACCTGCGCCAAAAGTCAACTTTTTACAAGTAGGAGTACACTGTAAAATAAGGATAAAAAGTACAGGAGAGGGGCCAGCATTGTGGCGCAGTGGGTTAAGCCGCCACCCAGCAACACCAGCACCCATACTTGAGCACAGGTTTGTATCTTGGCTGCTTCACTTCCCATCCAGTTCCCTGCTAATGCACCTGGGAAAGTGGTGGAGGATGGCCCAAGTCCCTGGGCCCCTGTCACCCACGTGGGAGACCTGGATGGAGATCTTGGCTCTGGCCTGGCCCAGCCCTGGCTGTAGTGGCCATCTGGGGAGTGAACTAGCAGATGGAAGATCTCTCTCTGTCTCTCTGCCTTTCAAATAAATGAACAAATCTTTAAAAAGTGTAGTATAGCGAACTCATAAACCAGTCACATAGCCATTGATGGTCATTATCAAATATTATGTACTATTCATAGCTGTGTGTGCTATTCAAGGGAAGGTCTTCAAAAAATTTCATATTCATATTATGCAAAAAGAATGTATGGAGGCTGCTGCTATGGTGTAGCTGATAAAGCCACCGCCAGTTCTAGTCCTGGCCACTCCACTTCCGATCCAGCTTCCTGCTAATGTGCCTGGGAAAAAAGCAGAGGATGGCCCAAATGCTTGGGCCCCTGCACCATCATGGGAGACCCAGAAGAAGCTCCTGGCTTCGGATCAGCCCAGCTCTAGCTGGTGCAGCCATTTGGAGAGTGAACCAGAGATGGAAGATCTCTCTGTCTTTCCCCCCACTGTCTCTCTGTAACTCTGTCTTTCAAATGAAGGGTCACATGCACATGGCTCAGTCACCCAGCGCTTCATGCAAATCTCCACCCCAGGAGGAGCAGCCACCTCTGAACTGGGCCTGCCTGCACTTCCGCCCATCCCTCCAGGTGATGACAAGCACTTCCCCTCTTGCATATTCATTACCCTTCAAAATTAAAAAACAAACAAACAAACCTGTTTTCATTGCTCCGGGGGTCACGGCTTTGGAAATGATTCCCTTCATCTCCTTATTTGCTGCGAATGAATTACTCTGTGTGACAAGTGCTTCTGGTGTGCTTCCTAGAGTTTGCCAGGGAACAGGCACACAGGTTGGGGTGGGTAACACTCTCTGCTGATTTCACTCCCCAAAGGCCTGAAACAGCCCATACTGGGCCGGGCCAAAGCCAGGAGCCAGCAACACAATCCAGGTGGCTCACGTGGGTGGTGGAGACGCAACTACTTCTGCCACCCTCAGGAGCCCAAAGCAGCTATCAAATAGCCCCCAGGCACCCCAATACAGAAGGCAGGTGTATTAACCTCTGGCCAAACACACTCCCCGAAAGGTTTTTTAAATGGGGCATTCCCACGACCTGGCACAGAGTGTGAGGGGTAAGGGCAGAGTGGGGGGGGGCAGGGAGGAGACAGCTGCACTGGTCCAGGTGACAGTAGGTGCCCAGGACAGGGTGAGAACTGGTCAGAACCTAGAGGGATGGAATAAGGCAAGCTGAGGGATGAGACAGGTAGGAAAAGGTGAGGAAGGGGCCCATGATCTCTGGCTTGGTTGGGGAGTGGATGCTGGGAAGGAGGCCTGACACACACGCCAGGGCTGAGCTCCGAGAGGCAGCAGTTGTAATCACCAGAACACTGAGTTCCACGCTTGCATCACACGCCGCTGAACGGAATCTACTCAGCACAGAGAATTCTGGGGTGATGGGGGATACCCAGTGCCTGCCCTTAGAGGGCTCATGTTCTGTTGACGGGGACAAGAAAATAATCCATACTTTATACCTAATAATAGTGCTGTGCCCAGCAACGTTTGCTGAGAGATCTTAGGGGCTCTTATCCACACACACACACACACACACACGCACAAGAAGTTAACTATAGAGGTCAAGGGTAGTTAAATCTTAACTAGTACTCACTTCACCATCTCTCTCTATATGTATGTAGGTATACCCTCAAAAAATGCATGATGCAGATCTGAAACGTGAAAATCAACAAAAAATACAATGGCATTGAGAAATCCTATGGGCCGGGTGTAAAACAGACTAAGGGGGAGAGAGGGGGAGGGGTTCATGTTGGGGAGCGCCCAGCACCCCAGTAAGGAATTATAAATATTCGTTAAATAAAGCCTTATACGGCAGGAAGTGGACACCTGAGTCAGCGTGTGTTTAAGGAAATGATCCAGTTATTCTCACGACGGCTTTCTCCCCCATTCACAGAAGAGGAAACTGAGGCACGGGGGTGGGGTGGGTAAGATGATTAGTATGGAAGGCAACTGCATCCGAGAGGGGGTGCCCAGCGCAGAGGTCACCGGAAACGGTCATTCACGGGCTAGGGTAGGAGAGGCCAGAGCAGCGCAGACTGACCTATGACGTCATCGGTACGCTAAGCAGCGTAGCATCACCTGGACGTAGCTCCATTTCCTTTCCCGGACAGGTCCTCTGGTAGTCGGGCAGAGTCTGAATCAAGCCTCTCATTGGCTACGCACTCCGTCAATCCGTTTCATTCTTCCAGTCTTCCGCCCCGCCTTCCTGAGCCAACCTCTGATAGGCTGCCGCGGCAGTCACTTTAGAAAGGTCCGCATTCCTTCCGCCTTTCTCCAGGAGACCGAGGGCGAGGAGGGTGTATCCCCGGCAGCGTCCACCCCCTGGACTCTGATTCCATCTCTCATTGGCTGAGCTGGGTGCCGGTCGCTACTCCACCCGCTGCCCATTGGCCAACCTACAGCCGCTCTGCGCGGCGCCGGCTCCGCCCCCGTCGGGTGTTTGTGGTGGGGCTGCGGAGTCGCCGATCCCGCCGGAAGCGCCAGGACAATGGGGACCCGGGACGACGAGTACGACTACCTATTCAAAGGTGCGGTCGGTGGGGCGCAGACGGGCGAGGGCGAGGCGGCGAGGCGGTGGGCACGCGAATCGAGGCCGCGCTCCGACCCGCTGGGCCCAGACCGGAGCCTGAGGCTTGGGACTCGCTAGTCAGGCATCTGGAAAGGCCGGGGCAGCCGGGGATCCGTCAGTTGCGGGACGGAAGGTGCAGCGGTGCGGAGCGGGCATCCCAGAGAGGCCTAGGGGCCCAGGATGCGCTGAGGCGGGGCCTGGGCCCAGAGGGGGTGGGGCCCGGAGCAGTGGGAGAGGCCGTTAGGGGCGGAGCCTCGTGAGGGGGCGGGGCCACCCCGGGATTTGGCGGGCCCGGCTAGGTTGAAAGTGCGATTTGGGATGGGGGGGCGGAGCCGTTGGAGGCGGGGCCAGGGTATGGTGGGTGTGTCCAAGACGTGGGCAGGGTCTGGTTTGATGGGGCGGGGCCCATCACGAGCCCAGCTCTGACTGGAGGCAGTGCATCTGGGGGCGGGGCCTGGAGGAGAAGGGACGGACAGTCGGAACCCGGTATGCGGTGTGGGGAGGAAGCCATGAATTGGGGTGCGGATCCAGAGCTGGGTTGAGAGGCAGACGTGTGTGCAGCAGTAATTAAGAGAGTTCTTTTTTGCTTAATTTAAAAAAATAGGTGGGAAGCAGAGAGAGACAGAGATAGAGCCCCCACCTGCTATTTCACTCCCCAAATGCCTACAGTGGTCACTACTGGGCCAGGGACCCAAAAACTCGACAGGTCTCTTACGTGGGTGGCAAGAACCCAGTTATTTGAGTCATCACCGCTGCCTCCCAGGGTCTGCTTTAGCAGGAAGCTGGAGTTAGGAGCAGGAGCTGGGTATGAAACCCAGGTAACCCGGATGTGGATACCAGTATCTTAAGCCCTAAACTAAATGCCTATGCTAGAACTCTTTCTTGCACTGAGTACCTGCACTTTTCCAAGCACTTTATAGGGACGTGTTCATTTAAATCCTCCCTGCAACCTTTGAAGTCACTATTGTCCAGCCTCTCTTTTTTACAGACAGGGAAGCTCAGCCCAGAGAGTCATGTGGGAGCAGAACTGAACCCAGGCCAGCTGTGGACTTGGCCACTTAGGGAGGGTGTCTTGGGGGCCTTGTGGCCAGGGTCTGGAATTTGGTGCTTTCAAACTACCGCAGAGCCTTATGCTGATGGCCCAGCTGCGGCCAACCTGCTGCTTCCCTGCCCAAGGGACCCAGGGTGGTGGGAGCATCACGTGGGGCGTAGGCGGGCCAGGGGCCAGCTGGGAAAACTCCCTCATTTCTCAGTGGGGTGGGTTTCAGTGTTGCGGGCTGGACTTTGACCAGCCCCAAGTCCTCTGCTATCCACGCTGGACTCCTTGGCTGACAGTGGCTGCCCTTGACCATCGCCCTGCTAACTGCTGTGTGCCTCTTCCCCTTTCTGGGGGAGTGGGGAGTCCAGCCACCTCTGGGAGTGTGCTATGTGCCTGGAGCCGGCCTTGGCTGACCGCTGTGCCTATGATATCATGCAGCATGTGGGGGTTGACAGAGGATATGTGTGTGGCAGAAGCCTTCCAGAGGCCAGCTCACGCAGAGGCCAGTGTCGTCATGTGGCCCCACGGGCTGGGGCTGTCACTGGGGGTCAGTGTCAGCCCCAAGGCCTCACCCTAAAGGCAGGGGGAAGCTGTGGGGGAGTTTTGGAGAGTCAGGATCTGAGGCCCTTCTGGGGACAGGTGGACCAGACGCTGGTCCTGCTGTGGCCGGTAACAGCTGCTCCCAGATGTGGCACTGCCAGGGCCCCTACTTGCCACCTCCCGCTTTCTGTGGTCACCCGCCCCCCCTTGTTATTTTCGTCCTTTTCTGTTATAAATAACCTGACTCCAAGTGTTTGCCTGAGGCCTGCTGGGTTATTTCCTTGAAGTGTGTTCCCAGAAGTACAGTTACTGGGTCAGGGGCAACCGCGCGGCCGTGTGGTTCCCGGAGCAGTCCCCATTGTCGGCTTCCTGGAAGCGCCACTCCGACTCCTGCAAGAGCTGGCACGGGGCAGGTACGCGCCTGCCCCGCTGCCCTCCCCCACTGGCCTGCTTTCCCTGAGTCGAGCAGGTGCCCCGCTGACCTTCTCAAGTGGTGCCGGTAGCAAAAGGTCAGTGTCTCCCACACCGGCCTTCCGCGGCCACCTCCACAATGCGTCCTCACCTGAGTACACCTCTGGGCTCTGGGCATTTGTCTCCTGGTGCGCTCCCCTTTCCACTCTGTGAAACTCAGGGGAGCTCTGTGGCTCCGACAGACTGAGAAGGCAGGAAGGAAGGGCCTGGAGGCAGGCGCGGCCCTGCCACGGCATCACTTGCCCGCCGAAGTGCCTGGGTAACGCCCAGGTCCCATCCGGACGCCCTGGCCAAGGCCGGGGTGGCCTTGCACAGGTCTCTGAGACACAGTTGCACCAGATGTGTTGACAAAGGCTGGCTTGGTGACCGCGTGGATCTCCAGCCCTATCACCTGCTGGGAGTCCCTCAGGAGCCGGAGGGGACAGCCATCCTCCTGCCCTCACCTTGTTGCCAAACCAGCCCCCTTGCCCCTCCTGTCGCCTCTCTGCCGCCGGCTGGGCCCCCAATGTGGATGAGGGGCCACTGGCTGCCCCCTCCCACCACCGCCTTGTTTTTCTGGTTGGCTCCCCTGACCTCGGGGCCAAGGCCAGCAGATCCCAGTGCTGCCAGTGTGCTGTTGGTTTCCCTCCCTGACCCGCCTGCCCCTCCCCACGAGGGAGGTTGTTTATTTGTACCTAATTATAGAGCTTCCCATTTCTCCTCCTCCCGTTTGATCCTGCCAGTCCTGACTTTTCCTGGATACCCCAGATTTCTCTGATAGGCGTTGGGCTGTGTCCCCATGGGCCACCAAGGCCCTCCTGGGTTCCTCTCCCCTTGCCCAGAGCCCCTGGCTAATCGGGGCCCACTGAGCCCTGGAGGACACAGGTCATGTGGAAAGCAGGCTGCGGCGGCTCAGGCCCTCCCTGTCCTCTGGGTTGTGTCCGGCCTTGCAGGGACGCGGCCAGCCCCAGAGCTCCCAGAGCAAGCAGCAGCTCCAGGCCCTCCCGCTGCTCTGCTTGCTTGTTGGGGACCCAGACATGGGGGCTCCACCTGTGCCCCAGCTCCTGATCCCTCTCCTCAAAGACCACTGGGGACTGGGATGTTGGGGGTAGCTTCTTGGCTCTGCCTGTGAGGGAGCGCTGCCTTCCAAACAGCCACTTGGTCTACCCGGGTGTCTGGGTCTGTGCTCCGGGGATGCCACCCTGTCACAGGCCAGACCCGAGCACCCAAGGCCTCCATAAGGTGCCAGTTCTTTGTTTTTGCCAACTGGGCTTGCCTGCTCTGCGGGCCAAGTGGCATGCCCCCAGGGACCCATTCCTGGCCAGCAAAGCCACTGACTTCTGAAGAAATGCTGGCGGCTGTGTCCTCAATGGTCCTTTCTTTCCCCCACACAACAGAGCTGTGTGCCCTCAACAATGCCATTGTCACTCCCGGCCTGCTCGTGGGGCCGGCCTGGCCACTGCCCTGCTGGCCACCTTGGGCATCAGGCACCCCATCTACCTCTGCCCTCCTTGCCAGGTGACCTTGGGCTGGGAGCTTGGGCGCTGTGGGCCAAGTGTTCCCAGCCGTGCAGTGAATTTACCTTGGCCCCTGTGGTAGCCCTGAGAACTGCATAAAGCTGAGGCCTGCCCCAGATAGAGAGGACATGGGTGGCCAGGCTGGGGCGGGACCACTGGGGCTGTGTAGCCGGGGCAAGGCTGGGAAGGGGGTGAAGGCACTGGGGGTCCCCGGCAGGGCCTGAGATTCTTGTTCTGTTTGGAGGATAGGAGAACTGAGAGCAGAGTGCCCCGGCCCATGGGGAGGAGATGAAGGTGGTGTGCGTGGTGGTTCCCAGGGCTGGTCCCGCCTGCCCTATGTGGCCTGGGAGCCGGTCCTTGGCCCCAGCAGCGTGGTTGGGAGGCTGCAGGGCCACATCTGGTTCCACCTCTGCATCTTCCTCTGACCTCGGTCGTCCTGTGTGAGGCACATAGGGTGTCACGAGAGGACACCAACCCTGGGGTCACAGGTCTCACGGGCCAGGCCGGCAGGGGTCTGAGGGAAAGGCTGAGGGGTCCTAACGGAGGAGCAGGGGTTTGTGTGAGCTGGAGGGCTGGAGAGGCTGGGGAATCCGGCCTCAGTACCGGACCCAAGGCAAAACCAAGAGCCCTCAGCCCTGTGCTTAACAGCCGATGACGCAGGCAGATGGCTGCAGACAAGTCCCTACTTGGTGGGCGTGGTTGGGAGACGGACTGAGCCTACTCTGCTGCCCCCCCGACACACACAGTGCGCCGTCGTGGCTCTGTTTCCCATCTGAGTCTTGGTTTCTGCATCTGTAAAATGGGTACCAGGAGTTTCCCCATCACAGCCTCATTAAATGTTCTTTTTGTTCTTGCTCTTATTATTTTTGTTCTTGATGCAGCCAAGGCCAGAGGGCAGTCTGATCTGCCCCTTCCCTCACCTGTGGCCTTCAGGGTGGTGACCAGGGCACACCAGGAGCTAGAGGCAATAGGCCTGGGAGGCTTTGCCAGCCATTGGGGTGTTTGTTCATTTCACAGACATTTGTGGGCACATCTGTGTGCCAGGATCTGCAGATACAGCAGGAGGCAAGACTGGACCTAGGGTTTGACCCTGAGAGAGGTGGGAGCTGCCCAGCCCTAGCGCGGAAGACAGCCAAGCTGCCTCAGGAGCTCAGAGCTGCCCTCTGGTGGTTGTAAGGAGAACAGGCTTTTGGTTGTGGCTCGGTGAACTCTGCAATTGTGGGGACCCCTGGAACCCAGGTGGTGCCCTGGACAGGGAGTTGGGAATCTGGGGACACACCCCCCTTTCCATCAAAGAACTGCATTCGGGCAGAAAAGTACACGTAGAGGCATGGAGCTCAACGAGTGAGTGTTCACCAACTGATCCCCTCCCCCATCTCCAAAGCAAAACATCGCAGCCCCAGAAGCACTCCTCGCCCTCCCTTCCCCGTATCTGTTTGAAAGGTGCTGAGGGGCTGGCCTGGGCCGTGAGAGGAAGAAGGGAGTCAGGATGACACCAGGGTTGGGGCTGAGCGCCGGGAAGGACCAAGCTGCTGTTAATCAGATGGGGTAGGCGGGGGTGGGGGATGGTGAGCAGGCTCCGTGATGTTTGCAGGTAGAGGGGAGGCCGCTGGGTGCCTGCTGCAGGGGCAGGGGCTGGCTTGGCCCTGGACTTGGCACTGAGGTCTGTGGGTTCCGTGGGTCCTAGAGAACTAGGAGCACAGGAGGTAGAAACAGTGAAGACAGAACTTTCAAGCTGCCTGGGAATCTGGACGGGAGAGGATGGGGCGGTGCCTGGGGCAGGAAGTAGGGTCAGGAGAGAACCTTTTCTTAACAGGAAGGAGAAATGCCAGCATGGGAGGGCAGCCCGGAGAGCCCTGGGCCTGGTCCCTCCTCTCCAGCCCGGCCAGCCCACGCCTGCTCTGCTCCCTGTGTCCCTCAGCTGCTTTGGGCCAGCCCTGCTGCACACGTCATGGCGCCTGGGGTCAGTGCAATGCCCTGGGGAGCATCTTTCCACCTGCTCTGGCCCAGGGCCAGGTGTGGGCTGGGCTGGCCAGCTGGGGGCAGCGGCTGGGGAGGCTGTGTACACTTGTCTATGACCTCTGGGTTCACGCACACTCACAGCCGTGCGGCCCCTCCCTCTGCAACGCGGCTGTGACACAGGAGGGCAGCGGTACAGGGTGGGGTAGCCAGGGGCTCTGTCCTGTGCTACACGTTTCCCTTCCACATGGAACAGTCAGCGCCTGCAGCACTGAGAGAAGACGGGAGGTGGCTTGCCATTTCCTGCCCCTGAAAACACCAGCAGAAACCCTCATCTGGTGGAGCACTGACCTTCCCGCACCCCAAACCGGACTACCCGGTATTAAAGACAGCTGCTTACTCGTGGCCCTTCTGGCCCCCAGCCACGCATGCTCTCACTTCCCCCTCCCAAGAGGACCTCTGTCCCACGTGCAGAGAAGGCAGTCCAGAGAGGTGCAGTCACTTGCCCAAGGTCACCCAGCTCCAGAGGTCTCTTGAGTTGTTCCCTAGTGCCTGGGAACATGCCTGGGATGTCCCCACACCCCAGCTGGGACGGTGCTGCTCTGAGGACCAGTGACTGCACAGCCCGAACTCCTTGCGATGTTGGCGCCGCGTTTGCAGGGAGCCGCGTGCAGCGTCTGTGGGTGGCTGCGGGGGCGCCTGGGGACTCACAGACCCTCACCTTGCCTCCTCCCCCCGCAGTGGTGCTCATCGGGGACTCAGGCGTGGGCAAGAGCAACCTGCTGTCGCGCTTCACCCGTAACGAGTTCAACCTGGAGAGCAAGAGCACCATTGGCGTGGAGTTCGCCACCCGCAGCATCCAGGTGGACGGCAAGACCATCAAGGCGCAGATCTGGGACACCGCCGGCCAGGAGCGCTACCGCGCCATCACCTCCGCGTGCGTGTCGGGGCGCGAGGCCTGTGTAGGAGCTGGGCAGGAGAGGGGCAGCAGAGGGTGGAGGGACTGTGCAGGAGCTGTGGGGCCTCAGGCACACCGGGGGATCGCTAGGAGCCACACGCGCAGCTCGGGCCCTGGCTCGAGCCCCTCCACTCTGCTCCGCCTTCCCAGCCCTCCTCTTCCTCGTCTCCCTGCTGTTGTGTGGCCCAGGCCTTGTCCCACACCTTCTGGGACCCCACTTCCTTTGCCACCTCGAGACCCCCTGCCATCAGGGCCACCCAGGCTCCTCTTCCCGGACGCCTCCCAGCCCCTAGCTGCTGCCTGTCGTCTGTCACTGCATCACGTCTGTCCTCGGGCCTCCCTGTCTCCTGGGTGACCTAGACTTGTACTGCACAGTGGGTGGTCACTTCTGCCCAGTGGTGGCCTTTGCCGCCCACAGCTCCTGTCCCCCTCTGTCCCTCCGCTGATGGCCTCAGGACACACAGCCCTGCCCTGGTTCCCGTGAGGCCGCTGCTGCCCATGGAGCCGGGAGGCTCACACCCGGCACCTGCCCCCTAGGTACTACCGTGGCGCAGTGGGCGCTCTGCTGGTGTACGACATTGCCAAGCACCTGACCTACGAGAACGTGGAGCGCTGGCTGAAGGAGCTGCGGGACCACGCCGACAGCAACATCGTCATCATGCTGGTCGGCAACAAGAGCGACCTGCGCCACCTGCGGGCCGTGCCCACGGATGAGGCCCGCGCCTTTGCAGGTGCCGCACTCCCCGGGCGTGGTGAGGCTTCAGGGTAGCGCCCAGTGGGTCCCAAACACAGCCCCTGCTCACTGGGCCCTGTTCTCTGTGTTCCAGAGAAGAACAACCTGTCCTTCATCGAGACCTCAGCCTTGGATTCCACCAACGTAGAGGAAGCATTCAAGAACATCCTCACAGGTGGGCACCGGGGCCTGGGGGGGGGGGGCGGCCACCAGCCCCTGGACTCCTGCTTGTTACACTCACTGGTCAGTCTGGACACAAGGACAGAAGTGCAGCTCCCCGGGGTCAGGCCACATCCAGCCTTGCTGGTGCCCGGGACACAGGGACCCCTGACCCAGCTCCATAGGTGGGCCCTGCGTGGGTGAGTGGAAGGTCCAGAGCTTCCTGGTCCAGTTTATTTTTGGAGGGGAGAGGGGGCCTCTGATGAGAAGAGAACAAGTGGCTGTGGCCAGATGTGGGTCCCAGCTTGGGCCTCCCCAGCAGGCAGGCGCTCCCTGTGTGATGAGAGTGTGCAGGGCCCCGTGGGGGCCGTTGGGAGGGGCTCTGGACACAGCCTCAGGGATGCTGCCTGGGAAGTGGTCAGCAGGGGAGGGGGCGCAGCTCGCTCACGCCGAATGCCCGCCCTGCCCCTGCCCCGCAGAGATCTACCGCATCGTGTCACAGAAGCAGATCGCCGACCGCGCCGCGCACGACGAGTCCCCCGGCAACAACGTGGTGGACATCAGCGTGCCGCCCACCACCGACGGACAGAAGCCCAGCAAGCTGCAGTGCTGCCAGAGCCTGTGACCGCGCCGCGCCGGCGTCCCTGCGTGCGTGCACGTCCTCGTCCTCGGCCCTCGTCCTCGTCCTCGTCCTCAGCCCGGCCCCTCTCCCGGCCCCCAGTGACCGGCTCCTCCCGCCCTCCCGCGGGCATCTCGGCAGGAAGGACAGGGCCGGCCAGCGGCGAGGAAGACGGGCCGACGGAGCTGGCTTCTCCTGCTTTTCCGCGGCAGACTCCAGGGAGCGATCACCTCCCTCCCCGCCCGGCCAGTGGGCCCAGCAGGTCCCTCCTCACCCAGAACCCGGGCCGGGCAGGCGACGCTCCGGGCTCTCGGCATCCCGCCCGCCCCTCCACGCACCGCCCGCGCCGGCTCGCCCGCCCGCGCCCTCCCGCCTGTAGGTTGGAGCTGGGAGCAGACCCCGTCCCGCCCGCCCGCCCCTCTGCACGCCGCGCGCCCCTGCCCGCCCGCCCCTCTGTCTCGTCTCCCCGTGCGGTCAGGAGCCTGTCTGAGTGAAGCAATATCTCCGTGTTTTGTACATACAACCGCTCTTGTAGCCTTTGGTTTTTGTTATTGTAGAGAAACACAGATTCTTTATACACTTTGTAAGATTTACGCCGGCCCTAGCTCTCGATCTCTTCTTCGCCCTGTGGCCCCTGCACTGTTGCCCGTTACTAAAAATGTATACGCCGACTTCCTGTACAGAAATCTGCAGCTGCGCCTCTGTCTTATTTCTCTCGGTCAGGCGGCCGCTCCCGAGCCAAGGCCCCTCGCTGCACGGTGCGTGCCCCCGGCCACAACGCGCGCCCGGCCCCGACGCGGCCCGGGGCGGCTGTGGGTCCCCTGAGCTGCCCCGCGGGCGCCCCCTGGCGGGGATGGGAGAGTGGAACCTGTGCAGCGAGGGGCCCGCCCGGCTGATGCTGGTGAAGCCAGCCCCATGCCGACTCTGAGCCCGCACCAACGCTTGAGGGCACACGGGGAACACTGGTGATCCAGGCAAAGTGCTGGCGTCCTGTGCCTCCTCCCAGAATCCAGTTTCTCCCTGCTTGCCGTGGGCAGGGCTGGCCGGTTGAGCAGACGTGGCCGTCCACCAGCCACCTCTCCCCACCACTGCAGTGGCCTCCTGACTGTGTGTGTCCACTCTGCTGAGCACAGCAGCCGTCCCAGAAGCTCCAGCCAGCTACCAAAGAGGCCACTCATGCCCTGGGTACCTTGCAGGCCCAGTCCTTCTTGAATCCAGGCTCTGGAGGGTTGGGCAATCCCAGACACTTTCTGTGGGAAGAGCCAGGAACCACCAGAGAAGGCGAGCTGAGCCACTCGTGTGTGCTCCTGGCCTCGCTGGGGCTGTGGATGGGAGGGTAAGGGGGTATGGTGAGCATCAGCAGGTGGGGCCTGGGGTGCTGACTCCTCCAGGTTTGGACCTCTGGTGGACAGAGCCTTTGGGGGAAGCCAGGAGGCAGTAAGGACTCCTAGGTCCCTCATACGGTCTTGTGGTCAGCTGCCATCTCAGGCAATGTCCCTATGTGCCAGGCCTTGGGGCAGGGATGGGTGTGCTCCCCGTCCCCTTAGGACTGCCAGGCTAGGAGTGCTGTTTTCATTACTCTAGCCCCAGTGACTTCATAAACACATCAAGCTCTGTCCAGGCCTGTTTTTTTTTAAGTCTTTATAAAAGACTGAGGCACGTTCACAATGATGTGCCACCATTGTCACCATCCATCTCCAGAATTTCTCATCTTCCCAAACTGAAACTCTGTCCTCATGAAACTCACTCTCCCACCCCCCAACTCTCCGTTCTACTTCCTGTCTCTGTGACTCCGGGGCTTCCTATAAGTGGACTCATACAGTATTTCAAAAAAAAAAAAAAAAAAAAGATTTATTTGAGACGCAGAGTTTACAGAGAGGGAGACACAGAGAGATCTTCCATATTCTAGCTCATTCTCCAAAAGGCCACAACAACAGGGGCTAGGCTAGATGGAAGCCAGGAACTCCATCCGGGTTTCTCACCTGGGTGGCAGGGTCCCAAGCACTTGGGCCATCTGCTGCTGCTTTCGCAGCTGCATTAGCAGGGAGCTGGATTGGAAGTGGAGCAGCATCCCTATGAGCTGCTGGCATCACTGGCAGTTTAACCTGCTGCCCCACCACACCCTCCCTAAGTCACACAATATTGTCCTTTCACATCTGGCTTCTTTCAGCATAATGTCCTCAGGGGCTGTCCATGTTGTAACAGGTGTCAGAATTTCCTTTGTTCTTTGAACATTTATTCATTTTATTTGAAAGGCAGAGCGCTAGAGAAAGAGTGGAGAGAGAGGTTTTTTTTGTTTGTTTGTTTTTTGTTTTTTGACAGGCAGAGTGGACAGTGAGAGAGAGACAGAGAGAGAAAGGTCTTCCTTTGCCGTTGGTTCACCCTCCAATGGCCGCCGCAGCCGGTGCGCTGCGGCCGGCGCACCGCGCTGATCCGATGGCAGGAGCCAGGTACTTCTCCTGGTCTCCCATGGGGTGCAGGGCCCAAGCACTTGGGCCATCCTCCACTGCACTCCCTGGCCACAGCAGAGAGCTGGCCCGGAAGAGGGGCAACCGGGACAGAATCCGGCGCCCTGACTGGGACTAGAACCCGGTGTGCCGGCGCCGCAAGGCGGAGGATTAGCCTAGTGAGCTGCGGCGCCGGCGAGAGAGAGCTTCTATCAACTGGTTCACTCCCCAAATGGCCACAACAGTCATGTAGGAGCTTCTGACTACATCCAGGTCTCCTAAATGGGTGGCAGTGGTCCAAGGACTTGGGCCATCTGCTGCTGCTTTCCCAGACACAGTAGCAGGGAGCTGGATTGGAAGTGGTGCAGTCAGGATTGGAACTAGCACTTTTATGATTTTCTGTCCTTTGGTTCACCCTCCAGATACACACAATAGCCAGGGCTAAGTCAGGCTGAAGTCAGGAGCCCAGAACCAACCTGGGTCTTGTAAGTGGGTGGCAGGGACTCAACTACTTGAGCCACCGCTGCTGCCTCCCTGGGTGTGCATTAACAGCAAGTTGGAATCAGAAGCAGAGCTGGGGCCCCATCCCAGGCACCCTGATGTGGGATGCCAGCATTCCAAGCTGTGCCAACCACTGTGCCAGAAGCCTCCCACCCCGTTTTAAAATTTATTTGAAAAAGGAAGAGAACTATAATTCCAGAACTTTTCCACACCCCAAAAAGAAATCTATTACCCACGAAGGAATTACTCTCCGTTTGGCCCTGCCCCAGCCCTGGCAACCATTAATCTGCTTTCTTTCTCTGTGGGTCTATGGCACTGTTTAACTAGCTCCTTCATGCCTCGCCCTCCCTGTAAATTGATAGCTGGGTCTGGATGCGTGATTAGATTGGGGACAGCACTTCATAAATAGTGTCCCCATGTACTTGAAGGACAATTAACATGGGCCTGCCTCTTGCTCTGTAAACAGCTATTAAGTGTCTCTTGGAGTCATCATCCATTAGGGGCTACTAAGTGGTGATATTCAAACTATCCCTTCTTCATTTTTTTCTGGAAGACTTCTCTACAGAGAACTGTCTCCTCTTCCATTGTGTGGTGACCTTGAGGTGCTCTGTGGGTACAAGTCAGCATGAATACTTAAATTTTTTTTTTTTTTTTTTGCTCATCAGTTTTACTTAAAAAAAAAAAACTATTGGAAAGATTTACAGAGAGAGAGAGAGAGAGAGAGAGAGAGAGAGAGAGAGGTCTTCCATCCACTGGTTTACTCCCCAATTGGCCACAATGGCCACGGCCAGTGCTATGCTGATCTGAAGCCAGGAGCTGGGAGCTTCTTCCGGGTCTCCCACGCGGGTGCAGGGGCCCAAGGACTTGGGCCATCTTCTACTGCTTTCCCAGGCCATAGCAGAGAGCTGTATTGGAAGTGGAGCAGCCAGGACTTGAACCGGCGCCCATATGAAATGCCAGCACTGCAGGCCGTGGCTTTATCCGCTACACCACAGCGATGGCCCCTCATCAGTTTTATTTTATTTATTTATTTATTTTTTTAAATTTTTTGACAGGCAGAGTGGACAGTGGGAGAGAGAGACAGAGAGAAAGGTCTTCCTTTGCCGTTGGTTCACCCTCCAATGGCCGCCGCGGCCGGCGCACTGCGGCCAGCGCACCGCGCTGATCCGATGGCAGGAGCCAGGAGCTAGGTGCTTTTCCTGGTCTCCCATGGGGTGCAGGGCCCAAGCACCTGGGCCATCCTCCACTGCACTCCCTGGCCACAGCAGAGAGCTGGCCTGGAAGAGGGGCAACTGGGACAGAATCTGGCGCCCGGACCGGGACTAGAACCCGGTGTGCCGGCGCTGCAAGGCGGAGGATTAGCCTAGTGAGCTGCAGCACTGACTCAGATATGAGTTCTTAAAAAAAGAATCAGAGGTATTAGTGTTCACCCATGGCTTTTGAGATGGATAGATGCACATGGGTGCATGCATGCATATGTATTGCGATGAGAAAGCCAAGATCAGTGAATCCACACTTAGCTCCCACGTCTTAGTTTCTGAATGTCAGTCTGGAACCAGCGCCTCTTGGAGGCATGGTTGATTATAGGATTTGTGCAAGGGAAAATACAAGACAGGTCAGCCTGGGACACCTTTTGTTGTTGTTTTAAGATGTATTTATATGGGGGCCGGCGCCCTGGCCCAGTAGGTTAATCCTCCACCTGCAGTGCCGGCATCCCGAATGGGCACTGGTTTGAGTCCTGGCTGCTCCACTTCTGATCCAGCTCTCTGCTGCAGCAGCTACGGCCAGAGCTATGCCAATCTAAAGCCAGGAGCCAGGTACTTCTTCCTGGTCCCGCACGCAGGTGCAGGGGCCCAAGCACTTGGACCATCCTCCACTGCCCTCCCGGGCCACAGCAGAGAGCTGGACTGGAAGAGGAGCAGCCGGGACTAGAACCTGGCGCCCATGTGGGATGCTGGCGCCTTAGGTGGAGGATTAACCAAGTGAGCCACGGCGCAGGACCCTGGCTTAAATAATTTTTAAAAAGCCCATTTAAAATAAGTATTTTTACAAATTGACTAGTAATACATTTGTCACCCCCTGGATTGAGGTCTATGAGGGCAGTCCACACTGCGTCCCCAGCACATAGCACAGGGCTCTGATTCATGCACAGATTCATGAATGTATGAATGAATGATGAAGGATATTGGCTTCAGCATCTCCCACGGACACCTAACTTCTGAAGGTTTCTATTTCCCCTTTGTGAAATATGATCGTAAGTTCTCTTCCTGCCCCTAGGATTGAAAGGAAGCCTACTGAAGGAGCTTGCCCGGTGTCAAATCGAGTTCTGAAGCGGTTTTATTTATTCCAAAGCAGGGGTGGTCTGCAGGTGGCGCAGGCAGCTCCGCTTGCGTTCGGCATGGGGGATGGGGCGTGGCCAGAGTTGGGGGCGGGGCCGAGGCGCGGCTGGGGCGGAGCCAGCAGCCTGCGGCGCCGCGGGGCCGGTACCGCCCAGGACGTCCCCCGTCGCCTCCGGCCCCGCCTACCGGGGCGGGACTTGTACGACGATTGGAGAGTGCGTACGAGAGGCGGTCATCATTGGTCCGCGGCGCTGTCGGCTCGGCGGGCGGTGTCCGGACGCAGGTGCCGGCCGGAGCCGAGCGAGCGCCGCTGACGGGCCGGGCCGGGCCGGGACACGGGCCAGGGAGAACGGAGGGGCCTGCGCGGCCGCCCGGCCCGGCCGCGAATCAGGTAGGCGC